ACATCCGCACAATACCAGAATCTACTGTTCTTGAACATTGCATGCAGAACACCAAGGATATGTACCTGCGACCATTAAAGGGATTTCTCAAATCATAATTTCAAAATAATTGTGTTCACGACTGCGAAAGGTATAATAAACCGATTAAGTTTGTACTAGTTACTAGTTCAGTACCCAAATACCACTGCTTAATCTTTACCTTCACAGAAAGGTGAAAATTTGTGAAGAAAAAGAAAGTTTAAGATTTGAACACCAAATCGTCACCATTTTGTTTTTCTTTTTAAAATAAAACTGCTGTGAGTCGTTTATAAGGATACAACAGAATAAAAGATTCCAATCTAAATGAAGAAAGTTTACAGCACAGTGTAAATGAAGTAAATATTTAAGTGTCTACTTTAATACTCTGCAAGAAAAGAGGATTTTTTAACTTTGATAAAAGACAGCATGAAAGAAAGGTGGGCTATATAAAAATAAAGTATTGTATTTAAATATCAATTAAATATTTCGCAGGAAACGAGAATTTTCGGAATTTGATATTTTATGTTTACTTATAAAAGATCGTTGATTCCACCTCCAAAGGAAAATAGGAAGGGGAGGAATGTAGTGAAGTTGCATGTTGAATATTCACAATGTATACTGAATAAATCAATGAGGTGTGCCTGTCGCATGCAGAGTGGTCCTTTTAATTGGCACCCGCCCTATGCACGGAGCTAGTCTTGTGTGTGAACCCGAAACCTGTGGATGTGCGGTTCCAATTTATCGTGTCTAACGACTCTAGCACTCAAGGCTGTAAAGCTGCACACCATCTGCCCAGGGTAAGCATGGGTCTGGGTGGAAATACAACGTAGTTAGTATAATTGTTAAGTTGCCGATGGGCTTTATTAATGTATTGCTGTCGGTCCATAATTACCAAAGCTGAACCTTTATTTGCCAGCTTGATGATGATGTGGGTGTGAGAGCGCAGGGAGTTGAGTGCTGAACGCTCATCCCTGGAGAGATTATCATCAGGAGTAGGACAAAAATGATCAGGGTTATTCACTTGTGAATGAACAGCCTGTGCATAGGTCTCAAGGGCTGGTACATGATTCTTTGGGGGTACCCAGATGCTTTTGACATGGAGGGGCTCCCAGTGGCATGGAGCAGAGTCAAAGAAAAATTCTTAAGTCGTATCCTGTGGAAGTATTCAGTGAGATCTTGGCTGAGTTGTACCTGGTTTACTGTTGGGGGGAGTGGGACAGAAATTTAGACCCTTGGAGAGAAGTTTGTGTTCAGTATCAGTTATGGGCGATGAAGAAAGGTTGACTCCAGTGTGGGAGTTGGTAGGTGGTAAGGGTTGGGGCTTTGGATGCCTGAAGCGTCTATGCCTACGTTGTTTGGCCAAAATGCCATCTATCTTCTTGTTCCTCCTGTCATGAAGAACACAATCAAGATTAGTGAGGCCCCTTTCCATCTCAACGCAAAGGTTCTTATACACAGCGTCAGGACAGTTTCATCTAATTTCAGAATCAAGATGGGCTATGTCCTGGTGAAGGTCCTGAAGTGTGATTTGATGCTGCTGAGAAATAATATTGAGTAATTGGATAGAGGCTCCATGGAGAACTTGATTCCATCTTTTCTGTAGGTGAGGAGAGAGGGTACC